CAGTATAAACCAGTATAGACCAGTACGGACCAGTAATGACCTCCCAGGAATTGCCCCTGCACCCAGAACACCCTCCCATTTCATCCCAGTAACAACCAGTGCCATCCTAGGTCCCTCCCAGTTTATCCCAGTCCATCCCAGTCCATTCCAGTTCCCTCCCAGTGCTCCCAGTCCATTCCCATTCCATTCCCAGTATATCCCAGTGCTCCCGGTCCCCCCCCCCAGTCCATTCCCAGTCCCTCCCAGTCGGTCCCCGGTGCTCACAGGCAGCTGGGGGGGTCGCTGGAGTCCATCAGGGGGTACCAGGTGAAGTCGTAGATGGTGTCACCTTCGGCCACCTGCACGGCCGGGAGCTGCCCAGTGACCACAGTGACCAGTGAGTGACCACAGTGACCAATGAGTGACCAATGAGTGACCACAGTGACCAGTGAGTGACCACAGTGACCACAGTGACCAGTGAGTGACCACAGTGACCACAGTGACCAATGAGTGACCAATGGGTGACCACAGTGACCAATGAGTGACCAATGAGTGACCACAGTGACCAATGAGTGACCACAGTGACCAATGAGTGACCAATGAGTGACCACAGTGACCAGTGAGTGACCACAGTGACCACAGTGACCAATGAGTGACCAATGGGTGACCACAGTGACCAATGAGTGACCACAGTGACCAATGAGTGACCAATGAGTGACCACAGTGACCAGTGAGTGACCAATGAGTGACCACAGTGACCAATGAGTGACCACAGTGACCACAGTGACCAGTGAGTGACCAATGAGTGACTACTGAGTGACCACTGAGTGACCAATGAGTGACCACAGTGACCAGTGAGTGACCAATGAGTGACCACAGTGACCAATGAGTGACCACAGTGACCAGTGAGTGACCAATGAGTGACCACTGAGTGACCAATGAGTGACCACAGTGACCAGTGAGTGACCACAGTGACCACTGAGTGACCAATGAGTGACCACAGTGACCAATGAGTGACCAATGAGTGACTACTGAGTAACCCCCAGTGACCAGTGACCACTGAGTGACCACAGTGACCACAGTGACCACTGAGTGACCACAGTGACCAATGAGTGACCACAGTGACCACAGTAATCCCAGTGACCACAGTGACCACTGAGTGACCACAGTGACCAATGAGTGACCACTGAGCGACCAATGAGTGACCACAGTGACCACTGAGTGACCACAGTGACCACAGCAACCAATGAGTGACCACTGACCACTGAGTGACCACTGAATGACCATGAGGGACCCTGAGTGACCCGAGTGACCAATCAGTGACTCCGGGAGATCCACAATGACCCCCCAAAGTGACCCCAAACCCCCCCAAAGTGACCCCAAATTACCCCAAAGTGACCACAAACCCCCCCAGGACACCCCAAGTGACCCCAAATCCCCCCAAAATGATGAAAAATCCCCCCAAAGTGACTCCAAACCCTCCCAAATCCCCTCCAGAACGCCCCCAAAATGACCCAAATCCCCCCCAAATTACACAAATCCCCCCCAAAGTGACCCAACCCCCCCACCCCCCCCACCCACCATTTGGGGGAGGGGCGCCCCCGGGGGGGGTCCCGGGGGCAGGGGGAGGTCGAAGATCCTCAGGGCGTTGTCGTTGCTGCAGGTGAGGACGCAGGAACCGTCGGGGGCCCTGGGGGGGACCCCAAAAACGTCACCCCAAAATAAACCTAGGGGTGGGGGGACACCCCCATTGTCACCTGAGGGACCCCAAAATGACCCCCCGGGTGTTGGGGACCCCCCCATTGTCACCCCAAAATAACCGCAGGGTTTGGGGACCCTCAAATGTCACCCCAAAATGGCCCCACGGGGGTTGGGGACACACAAATGTCACCCCAAAATAAACCCCGGGTGTGGGGGACCCCTCCATTGTCACCTGAGGGACCCAAAATCACCCCCAGGGGTTGGGGAACCCCAAATGTCACCTCAGATTTTTGAGGGGGTTTCGGGGTGATTTTTGGGGGGTTTAGGGGTGTTTTACGGAGGGTTTAGGGAGGATTTGGGGGAGGATTTTTTGGGGTGATTTTTAGGGGGTTTTGGGGTGATTTTTTTGAGTCTTGGGGTGATTTTGGGGATGATTTTTAGCGGGAGGTTTTTGGGCTGATTTTTGGGGTGATTTAGGGACGGTTTTGGGGTGATTTTGGGGGAGGGTGCTTTGGGGTGATTTTTGGGCTGATTTTTAGCGGGGGGTTTTGGGGTGATTCTTGGGCTGATTTAGGGAGGTTTTTGGGTAATTTTGGGGGGTTTTGGGGTGACATTTTGGGGGTTTTGGGGTGATTTAGGGAGGGTTTCAGGGGGATTTTTTGGGGTGATTTAGGGAGGTTTTTGGGTAATTTTGGGGTCGCTCACCATTTGCAGCCTCGCAGGTAATTCTCGGCGCGCTTCGCGAATTCCTCCCGAGCCCCCCAAACCGGGTGGGGGGGGCGGCCGAAATCGAACTGGGGGAAACTGGGGAGAGCCGGGGGGGGGTCAGGGACCCCCAAAACCCGTCAGGGACCCCCAAAACCCCTCAGGGAACCCCAAAATTTCACCCAAAACTCACTCGAGCTCCTCCTCCTCCACGGGCTCCGCCGCGGCCGCGTCCTGAGGGGTTCCGGGGGGTTCGGGGACCCCCAGAGGGGCTGCGGGGGGAGGGGAGAGGTCAGAGCGCCGCCCCCACCCCCAAAAAACCCAAAATATCCCCCCAAAAAAACCCAAAAATCCCAAATTCTCCCGCCCCCCTCACGCGCACCGTCCGCCATGGGCGCCGCCATGACTGCGAGAGGCCACGCCCCATGGTGGCCACGCCCCTTAACGGCACGCTGCTTTGACCACGCCTCTAACGCCATATATGGAATGCAGCCGGTTTGGATTGGCTCCTCCCTCCGTGGGCAGGGTTTCGGCTTTTCCCGCCAAAAAGGGGATTCGGGGACACAAAATGGCGCCCCAAAAGGGTCCAGAGGGACCTGCGACCCCAAAAATGGCCCCGAAAGGGTCCAGAGGGACCCCAAAATGGCACCTGAAAGTTTGGGGGCCCTCAAAATGTGACTTGAGGGGGTTGAGAGGCTCTGGGGGACCCCAAAAATGACCCAAAAATGGTCCAGAGGGACCTGGGACACCCCAAAATGGCACCTCAGGGTTTGGGGACCACAAAATGGCGCCTGAGGGTTTGAGGGGGGTCCCAAAATGGCACCCAAGGGTTTGGGGTGTCCCTAAGGGAGGTCCTGGAGTGGGTGGGGTGCAACCAAGAGGTGACACAACCACGGCCACCATGAAACAGCCATGGCCACCACCACCCAACCATGGCCACCATGACACAACCTTGGCAGCCATGACCCAACCATGGCCACCACGATGTTCTTCCATGGCCACCTTGATGTTCCTCCACATCCCCAAGTTCCTCAGGGCCACCACAGCTGTCCAGCTGTGCCCAGCTGTTCCCAAATGAGGAGTTTTGCGGTGTCCCCCCTCCCCCAAAAACAGCCGCAGATGAAAATCAGTAAAACTTTTATTAACTTCCCCCCAAACATCAGAAATTCCCCAAAATTCGTTCCCCCCCCACCCCCAACAACCCCAAAAGTGAAAACAGCAACACAAAGGAGGGTGGGGGAGGGGCAAAGGACCCCCCCCCCCCCGAACCCCAAACCGGCCACCAACGAGCGCCCCTCCCCCACCCCCCTCCCCCTCCTCATTAACGAACCCCATAAATTACAACCCCCAAAATGGGGGAGGGGCTCCCACGCCTGCCCCTCCCCCGCCCCAACTGGGGGCGGGGTCACCCCTAAACTGGGGGGGGGGGGGGGGGGCACCCTCGATTGGGGGTCACCCCGAATTCAAGGTTTGGGGATCAACCCCCCAGTTTTAGGGTTTGACCCCAATTTAGGGATCAACCCCTCAATTTAAAGGTTACACCCCAATTCAGGTGGTTTCACCCCAATTTTGGGTTTTCTCCCCAGTTTTGGGGTCCTCCCCAGCTTAGGGGTCCCCCCCAGTTTGGGGGTTGCCCCCTCTGAACTTTGGGGTCCCCCAAAAGTTCAATTCAGGGGTTCCTCCTCAAACTTGAGGGTGTTTCCAACTTTGGGGGTGACCCCAATTTAGGGGTGACCTCAAATTTGGCCACCACCATCCTTTGGTGTCACCCTAATTCCAGGGTCACCCCAACAGTCCGGGTGACAATGGGGGGTGACAACGGCTCTGTCCACACTGGAATTTCAGGATTTGAGGGTGACAACCCCAACCCCATTTCCATCTGGGGGTGACAATCCCGTCACCGTTGGATACTGGGGTCACCCCCACAACCTGTAGAGGTTTTTTTGGGGTGACAACTCTTTTCTCATGGAAATTCGTGTGTCACCCCCACAGCCAGTTTTGGGTTTTTGGGTTTTGGGGGTGACACCCCCGACCCCAAATCCATGTGGGGGTTTTGGGTGACAACAACCCCATCCCTGTATCCGTGTGGGGGTTTGGGGGTGACAACCACCCCATACCCAAATCAATTTTGGGGTCACTCCCACAGCCTGTGGGGGTTTGCGGTTGACAACAACCTTGTCCCCATCAGAATTTGGGGGTTTGGGGTTGACACCCCCAGCTGCATATCCATGTGGGAGTTTTTGGGGTGACAACAATCCTGACCCCGTATCCATGTGGGGATTTTGGGGTGACAACCACAGCATCCCCAAATCAATTCTGGGGTCACTCCCATGGCCTGTGGGGTTTGGGGGTGACAACAATCCCATCCCTGTATCCATGTGGGGATTTTGGGGTGACAACCCCATCCCCATCAGAATTTGGGGGTTTGGGGTGACACAACCCTGTCCTCAAATAAATTTTGGGGCTACCCCCATGGCCTGTGCGGTTTGGGGATGACAACAACTCCAACCCTGTATCCATGTGGGGATTTTTGAGAACAACCACCACCTCGTCCCCACACAGATCTGGGGTGTTTTTGGGTTGTACCACCCCCATCCCCACACGGATCCGGGGGTGTTTTTGGGTTGTACCACCCCCGTCCCCACAGGGATCCGGGGATGTTTTTGGGCTGCACCACCCCCGTGCCCACAGTCGGAGCCCTCAGTTGTCGTCGTCGCTGTCGTCGGGGCTGATGGCCGGGCTGGTGAGGCTGTACGTGGGCGACGTGGGGCTGTAGCCGGGGGACGTGGGGCTGTACGTGGAGCCCTTGGGCGATGTGGGGCTGTAGGTGGGCGACGTCGGGCTGTACTTGGGTGACGTGGGGCTGTAGGTGGGCGAGGTGGGGCTGTACTTGGGCGACGTCGGGGTGTAGACGGGCGAGGTGGGGCTGTAGGTGGGCGACGTGGGGCTGTACTTGGGCGTGGTGGGGCTGTAGGTGGGCGAGGTGGGGCTGTACTTGGGGGACGTGGGGCTGTACTTGGGCGAGGTGGGGCTGTACTTGGGCGAGGTCGGGGTGTACTCGGGGGAGCTGGGGCTGTAGCTGGGGCTGGTCGGGGTGTACTTGGGGGACGTGGGGCTGTAGCTGGGGCTGCTGGGGCTGTAGCTGGGGCTGCTGGGGGTGTAGGTGGGCGACTGCGGGGTGTAGCGGGGGCTGGACGGGCTGTAGCTGGGGGACGTGGGGCTGTAACTGGGGGAGGTGGGGCTGTAGCTGGGGGAGGTGGGGCTGTAGTTGGGTGAGGTCGGGGTGTAGTTGGGGCTGGTGGGGCTGTAACTGGGAGAGGTGGGGCTGTAACTGGGAGAGGTCGGGGTGTAGTTGGGGCTGGTGGGGCTGTAGTTGGGTGAGGTGGGGCTGTAGCTGGGTGAGGTCGGGCTGTAGCTGGGAGAGGTTGGGCTGTAACTGGGGGAAGTGGGGCTGTAACTGGGAGAGGTGGGGCTGTAGCTCGGCGAGGTCGGGCTGTAACTGGGGGAAGTGGGGCTGTAGCTGGGAGATGTGGGGCTGTAGCTGGGCGATGTCGGGCTGTAGCTGGGCGAGGTGGGGCTGTAGCTGGGGGACGTGGGGCTGTAGCTCGGGGACGTGGGGCTGTAACTGGGCGAGGTCGGGCTGTAACTGGGCGAGGTCGGGCTGTAACTGGGAGAGGTGGGGCTGTAGCTGGGCGAGGTGGGGCTGTAGTTGGGCGAGGTGGGGCTGTAGCTGGGAGATGTGGGGCTGTAGCTGGGGGACGTGGGGCTGTAGCTGGGGCTCTGTGGGGTGTAGCCCCCCGGCGACCGCGGCTCGTAGGCGGGGGACGTCGGGCTGTAGCTGGGGGACATGGCGCCACCTGCGGAGAGGGGACACGGGGGTCAGCGGGGTGTTGGGAGGGGTGGTTGGGGTGTTGTGGAGGGTTGTGAGGCCCTTTGAGGTGTTGTTCAGGTGTTGTGGGGCTGTTTACGGTGTTGGGGGTCCCTCTGAGGTGTTGTGGGTCTCTTAGAGGTGTTGTTCGGGTGCTGTGGGGCTGTTAGTAATGTTGGGATATTGTGGATCCCCTTGAGGTGTTGTTCGCGTGTTGTGGGGCTGTTTGCGGTGTTGGGGGTCCCTCTGAGGTGTTGTTCAGCTGTTGTGGGGCTGTTTTGGGATGCTTCAGCGAGTTTTGGGGTGTTGTTACAGGTTACAGGGTGTTTCGGATTATTTGAGGTTATTTTAGGGTGTTTAGGGTATTGTTAGAGGTCACAGGGTACTCTCTGGGTGTTCTGGGTGATTTTCTGTTATTTTCGGGGTGTTTTATGATGTTTCAATGTGTTTTGGGGTGTTGCTACAGGTTACAGGGTGCTCTGTGGGTGTTTAGGGTTATTTTCTGTTACTTTAGGGGTATTTTAGGGTGTTACCAGGGTGTTTAGGGTGTTTCAGTGTGTTTTGGGTGTTGTTAGGTGTTACAGGTTGTTTTACAGGTATTTTGGGTTATTTTAAGGGTATTTCAGGGTATTTGGGGTTATTTCAGGGTATTTTGGAGTTATTTCGGGGTTATTTCAGGGTATTTGGGGTGTTTTTGGGGCTGTACTCACCGGGGGAGGGGATGTAGGGGCTGGAGGGCCCGGGTGACCCCGGTGAGCCGGGTGTTGGTGACCAGGCCGGGGAGTAACCGGGGCTGAACCCGGAGGCGTCGGAGGCGGCGCTGGGGGAGAACCCGGCCCCGCCCGGGGTCATCCCGCTGCCTGTGGGGGGAAAGGGGGGTCAGGGGGGCCCCAAAACCGGCCCCAGATACAGCCCAGGACCCCAAATCCACCCCCAAATACAACCTGGCCCCGCCTGGGGTCATCCCGCTGCCTGTGGGGGGAAAGGGGGTCAGGGGGACCCCAAAACTGGCCCGGAACCCCAAAACCAGCCCCAATGCACCCAGGACACCCCATATTCTCCCCACAACAATCCCAGCGATCCCCATTTTATCCCAGTCCCTCCCAGTTCCCTCCCAGTCCACCCCAGTGACCCCCATTTTACCCCAGACCCATCCCAGTGCCCCCCAGTGCCCCCCAGTGCCCCCCAGTGCCCCACGCACCCACGCTGGGGGACCAGGCTCCGTAGGCCGGGGTGGCCCCCTGGTTCCAGGGGGTCATGGCCGGGGACATCCCCCCCATGGGGCTGGGGGCGGAGCCGAAGAACATCCCGGTGGCTGTGGGGAGAGAGAAAGGGGTCAGGGGCACCCCAAAAACAGGGGGACCCCAAAATGCGGGGACAGCAACATTGGGGGGACACCAAAATATGGGGACACCAACATATGGGGACATCAACACCGGGGGGACACCAACATTAGGGGACATCAACATCGAGGGGACACCAAAATATGGGGACAGCAACATCTGGGGAACCCCGAAATCTGCGGGACATCAACACTGGGAGGACACCAAAATCTGTGGGACGTCAACATCTGGAGGACACCAGGTGACCAGGGCTGGGACATAGTGATGGCCACGGTGACATCAGGAGTCTTCTTGTCACCACCACCCTTGAGGTGTCCCCAACTCCACCCTTGTAGGATCCAGTCCTGGTGGACCCCAAAATCTGCATGGACCCCAAAACCTGAGGCTGTCCCCTCTTGCCATGGGACACCACAACTGCCCAATGACCACCATGACCTTGAAGGTCTTGGTGCCACCACCCTTGGGGTGCCACCACCCTTGGGGTGTCCCCAGCTGCTCCTGGAGGAACCTGGCCACCAACCCAAGGGGTGTCCCCGCTTTCCTGAGGTTGTTCTCATTTTCCCAGGGGTTGTCCCAATTTTCTTGGGGGGTGTCCCCAGGGTGCTGGGGCTGTCCCCAGGGTTCTGGAGATGTCTCCATTTTCCTGGGGGCTGTCCCCAGGGTTCTGGAGGTGTCCCAATTTTCTCAGGGGGTGTCCCCAGGCTTCTGGGGTTGTCCCCACTTTCCCAGGGTTGTCCCCACTTTCCCAGGTTGTCCCAATTTTGCCAGGGTTGTCCCAATTTTCCCGGGGTTGTCCCAGTTTTCTCGGGGGGTGTCCCCAGGGTTCTGGGGGTGTCCCCAGGGTTTTGGGGACTCACGGCCGCCGACGCCGAGCCCGGGCAGGGCGCTGGGGATCTCCATGCCGTGCTTGCACTTCTCGGCGTCCAGCAGGAGGTCGAAGCAGCCGGTGCCGGCCGGGGCCAGCTGGCCCAGCATGATGTTCTCGGACACGCCCTTCATGGGGTCGCTCTCCCCGTGGGCGGCCGCCTCCATCAGGACGTCGACCTGAGTGTGGGGGACGCCCCAAAATCAGCTTCAACCTTTCAACGTGACTCTACAGCCCCAAATCCTGGAAAATGGTCACAGAAACCCCCGTTCCCAGCACCCAAACCCCATTCCCACCCCAATCCCATGCCCATTCCCCATTGCCACCCCATTCCTACCCCAACTCCTGTTCCCACTCCATTCCCACCCCAATCCCCATTCCCAAACCCTGTTCCCACCCCAGTCCCCCATTCCTAAACCCCATTCTCAATTCCCAAACCCCACTCCCACTCCAATTCCCATTCCCAAACTCCATTGTCCCCGCTGTCCCCGCACCGTCTCCTCGAAGGAGCACTTCACGAGCGGCCCGGTGTCCCGGCGGTTCCCAAACCCCAAACCCCACTGTCCCCAACGTCCCCACTGTCCCCATTGTCCCCTGACCGTCTCCTCGAAGAAGCACTTCATGAGTGGCCCGGTGTCCTGGTGGTTCCCAAACCCCAAACTCCACTGTCCCCAGTGTCCCCAGTGTCCCCAGTGTCCCCATTGTCCCCAATGTCTCCATTGTCCCCAATGTCTCCATTGTCCCCGCTGTCCCCGCACCGTCTCCTCGAAGGAGCACTTCATGAGTGGCCCGGTGTCCTGGCGGTTCCCAAACCCCAAACTCCACTGTCCCCACTGTCCCCATTGTCCCCGGTGTCCCCGCTGTCCCCGCTGTCCCCGCACCGTCTCCTCGAAGGAGCACTTCATGAGCGGCCCGGTGTCCTGGCGGTTGACGCCGTGCCGGGTGATGGCCATCAGGTGTCCCCTGGAGGTCATGGTGTCGCACAGCAGCGCCAGGTGCCGGTAGTTGACGTAGGAGCCGTCGAAGGAGATGACGTGGTAGAGCTCCCGCTCCAGCGCCTTGCGCACCGCCTCGATGCCCAGAACCTGCGGGGACCCCAAAACCACAACGTTCAGGGGTGGGAATCCCCAAATCCAGGGGGTGGGAAATCCCAAATCCAGGGGGTGGGAAATCCCAAATCCAGAGGGTGGGAATTCCCAAAATCCAGGGATCCACAAATCCCAAAATCCCAAAATGGGGTGGGAATCCCCAAATTCAGGGGGTGGTAATCCCCAAATCCAGGGGATGGGAAATCCAAAATGCAGGGGGTGGGAAATCCCAAGTCCAAGGGGTCGGAAATCCTGAGATCCACAGCTTTTGGAATTCCCAAAATCCAGCGGGTGGGAATCCCATTAGCCTGGGGACGCAGGTGTGTCCCAGCCCAGGTGACTCACGGTGAAGATCTCCACCATGAGGACCACGATGTTCCTCGAACTCCAGCCCAGGTATCCCCAGGTGACTTACGGTGGAGATTTCCATGATGTCATTAGAGATCATCCACCATGAGGACCCAGATGTCCCTCAAATCCCAGCCCAGGTGACTCATGGTGAAGATCTGCACGAGCCCCCAGGTGTGTCCCCGACCCCCAGGTGTCCCCAGGAGACTCACGGTGAAGATCTCCACGATGTCATTAGAGACCATGCACCATGAGGACCATGAGGACCATGATGTCCCTCAAACCCCAGCCCAGGCGTGTCCCCGACCCCCAGGTGTCCCCAGTGACTCACGGTGAAGATCTCCACGATGTCGTTGGACGTGGTGCGCACGGGGTCCACGTCCTTCTCGCTCAGCACCCGCATCAGGCTGACGCCGTCGGTCTCCAGGATCCACTCCTGGAGAGCCTTGAACTCGCCGTCCTCGGTGATGATGATCTTCTTCTTGTTGTCCGTCTGCGGCAGGTGCATGTACACCTGGCCGGGTGGGGACAGCAGGTGTCACCATGGTGTCACCATGGGGGTCCCTGATCTCCTAAAGGTCTCCTGGAACCTCCTAAATTCTCCATGGAGAGCTCCTGATGCTCCTCAAGATCCACCTGGAGATCTTGAACCCTCAGAGCACTTGGTGCTACCCAAAGACCTTCTCAGGTGCCCACAGAGACCATTCTGGACCTTCTAAAGGTCTTCTGGAACCTCCTAAAGGTCACCATGTGGTATCTCTGGTGACCTCTCATCCCTTCATGGACCCCTCCAGGTGTGCCCAAGCCCCTCCAGGTGTCCCCAGTCTCAAACTTGAACCTGGGGGGACACGGGGACACCTCAGGGACATCCAGATGTCCCCAAGCCCCCCAGATGTCCCCAAGCCCCTCGAGGTGTCCCCAAGCCCCCCCAGATGTCCCCACCTTGCTGATCTGCTCGATGCCCTGCAGCGTCATGTCCGTCAGCATGTTGGACTCGATGCAGCGCAGGAAGACGTCGTCGTCCATCTTGTCCACCACCTCCTCCTCCTGGGGACACGGTGGGACACGGGTGAGGCCCAGGCCACGCCAGGTGTCCCCCGAGGTGGCCCCGGGTCCGCGCCCACCTCCTGCATCTTGTTCTCGTCGCTGTTCATGATGCGGATGCGCAGCACCAGCTTCTCGGCGTTGTCGTCGTTGAAGATGCAGTTGAGGTCGTCGCCGAAGCCTGGCAGGGGACACGGGGTGGGGACAGGGTCACCCCCGAGGTGGCGGCACCCAAGGGACCTCCGGGGGGTCCTCAAGGATCGGTCAGGAACCACCAAAGCTCCTCCAGATCATCCCAAAGCTCCTCCAGGCTCGCACAGAGCTCCTTGAAGAGCCCTCAGATGCCTTCAAGGGTCACTCAGGATCCTCAAAAAGCTCCTGAGATGTCCTCAAAGCTCACCTCAAACCCCCTTCAGGTCCCTCAAAAGCTGCTCAGATGCCCTCAAAACTCAACCAAGTCACCTCAAACCCCCTCCAAGTCCTCCAAACCCCCTCAGAACCCCTGAAACCCTCCTCAGATGTCCTCAAACCTCATCCAGGTCACCCCAAACCCCCTCCAGGTCACACAAACACCCCCAAACCCCTTCAGAACCCCCCAAAAGCTCCTCAAGACACCCTCAAACCTTATCCAGCTCACCCCAAAGCCCTCCAGGTCCCTCAGAAGCTCCTCAGATGCCCTCAAACCTCCTCCAAATCACCTCAAACCCCCTCCAGATCCCCTGAACACCCTCAGAACACCCCAAAGCCTCCTCAATCACCCTCAAACCTCCTCCAAGTCACTTTAAACTCCCTCCAGGTCCCCCACACCCCCTGAGAACCCCCAAAAAGCTCCTCAGATGCCCTCAAACCTCCTCCAAGTTACTTCAAACCCCCTCAGAACCCCCCAAAACCTCCTCAGATGCCCTCAAACTTCCTCCAAATCACCCCAAACCCCCTCAGAACTCCCCGAAAGCTTCTCAGACACCCTCAAACCTTCTCCAAGTCACCTCAAACCCCCTCAGGCCCCCCCAGGTACCCCCCAAACCCCGCGTCCCGCCCACCCACCGGCGTTGATCTTCTCGGCGATCTGCTCCATGGTCAGCTTGCGGTCGGTCATGTGCTTGCGGTCCAGCTCGACGCGCAGCAGCCACGGCGAGATGCGGCTGACGTCGAAGTCGGGCATCTCGTAGTAGACGTTGACCCACTCCTGGTCCTCGGCCACCACCGTGCTCTGCGGGTTGGGGTCGTAGTAGATGGCGGTGTTGGCCGTCACCTTGCGCAGCGTGGTGTGCTCCAGGCGGCACAGGATGTCCTGGGGACAGAGGGACAGTCAGGGGACGTTGGGGACATGGGGACAGTCGGGACATGTGGACAATCAGGGGACATTGGGGACACCGGGTGTGGTGTGCTCCAGGCGGCACAGGATGTCCTGGGGACATGGGGACAGTCAGGGGACATGGGGGACACTGGGGACAGTCAGGGGACATTGAGGACATGGGGACAGTCAGGGGACATTGGGGACACGGGGACATTGAGGACAGAGGGACACGGACATTGGGGACATGGAGGACATGATGGACATTGGGGACATCGGATGCGGTGTGCTCCAGGCAGCACAGGATGTCCTGGGGACATGGGGACAGTCAGGGGACATGGGGACGTGGAGGATATTGGGGACACTGCAGACAGTCAGGGGACATTGGGGACATTAGGGACAGTCAGGAGATATGGAGATATTGGGGACAGTCAGGGGACATGGGGACACAGAGGGGACACAAAGCCACAGGGCCACCACAGGGACATGAACCCATGAAGCCACCACAGGGCTGTGGGGACAAGGAGGTGACACAACCCCACAGGGCCCCCACGAGGCCACTACAGGGCTATGAGGACACAGAGATGACGCAACCCCACAGGGCTGTGAGGACACGAACCCACAGGGCCACCATGGGGACATAAAGCCATGGAGCCACCACGAGGGGGCCAAAGAGGTGACACAAAGCCACAGGGCCACCACAGGGACGTGAAGCCATGGAGCCACCGTGGGGCTGCGGGGACAACGAGGTGACACAAAGCCACGGGGCCACCATGAGGACGTGAAGCCATAGAGCCACCATGGGGCTGTGGGGACAGGGAGGTCACAAAGCCACAGAGCCACCACGGGGCTGCGGGGACAACGAGGTGACACAAAGCCGCAGGGCCACCACGAGGACATGAAGCCATGGAGCCACCACAGGGCTGTGAGGACCCAACCCCACAGGGCCACCACCTCCATCCCACCCTGTGCGCCGTCCCCAGCGCGTCCCCGGTGCCACCTTGGCGCGCTCGGCGTCGCGGGCGCTCTGGCCCAGCAGGAACACGGTCAGCGACGGCGTCTTGGGCTTCTTGGAGATGTTGATGAGCTCCTTGAGGCGCGGCACGCCCAGCGTGACGTTCTTGGCCGACACCCCCGCGTAGTGGAAGGTGTTGAGGGTCATCTGCGTGGCCGGCTCGCCCAGCGACTGCGCGGCCAGCGCGCCCACCATCTCCCCGGGGTGCGCCTGAGGGGACGACCAGAGCGTCACCAAACCACCCAGAGGGTCACCAAACCACCCAGAGGGTCACCAAACCACCCAGAGGGTCACCAAACCATCCAGAGGGTCACCAAACCACCCAGAGGGTCACCAAACCATCCAGAGGGTCACCAAACCACCCAGAGTGCCACCAAACCATCCAGAGGGTCACCAAACCATCCAGAGTGCCACCAAACCATCCAGAGGGTCACCAAACCATCCAGAGCGTCACCAAACCACCCAGAGGGTCACCAAACCATCCAGAGGGTCATCAAACCATCCAGAGGGTCACCAAACCATCCAGAGCATCACCAAACCATCCAGAGGGTCACCAAACCACCCAGAGGGTCACCAAACCATCCAGAGCGTCACCAAACTGTCCACAATGACCCCAAACCATCTCCCCGGGGTGGGCCTGAGGGGACACGGGGACAGCAGAGTGTGACAGTGGGGTCATCAAACCCCAGAAGTGACCCCAAACTCCTTCTCCAAGAATGACGCCAAACCTGGCTCTCACGATGGCCTGGTTGAACTTGGACTCGATTTCCCCCAGCAGCCAGTCGAAGGCAGCCCAAACACTGACCCCAAACCCACCCAAATCCCCCCAAAATGACCCCAAAACACCCCAAAATGACCGTAAATTCCCCAAAATGACCCCAAATCCCCCACTCACGATGGCCTGGTTGAACTTGGACTCGATCTCCCCCAGCAGCCAGTCGAAGGCAGCCCAAACACTGACCCCAAATCCCTCAGGAATGACCCCAAATCCCCCAAAATGACCCTAAATCCCCCAAAATGACCCCAAACCCCCACTCATGATGGCCTGGTTGAACTTGGACTCGATCTCCCCCAGCAGCCAGTCGAAGGCAGCCCAAACACCGACCCCAAACACTGACCCCAAATCCCTCAGGAATGACCCCAAACCCCCCAAAATGACCCCAAATCCCTCAGGAATGACCCCAAATCCCCCAAACCCCCACTCACGATGGCCTGGTTGAACTTGGACTCGATCTCCCCCAGCAGCCAGTCGAAGGGATCTCCAGAAGTGACCCCAAACACTGACCCCAAACCCAACCAAACCCCCCAAAATGACCCCAAATCCCCCAGGAATGACCCCAAATCCCCCAGGAATGACCCCAAATCCCCCAAACCCCCACTCACGATGGCCTGGTTGAACTTGGACTCGATCTCGCCCAGCAGCCAGTCGAAGGCCTCCCCGCTGAGCCGGAACTCCTCCACCATGCGGCGGCTGCAGAGCGTGGAGCGCAGGTGGATGTTGAAGAGCAGCGTCGCGTTCTCCTGCGCCTGCCGGCTCAGAGGGTCCTCCCCGTTGACGATCACCAGCTTGCGGCTCAGCTCCTTCACCCCTGCGGGGACAACGCGGTCACAGAGGGGTCCTGAGGGTGGCCAGAACCTTCCAGAGCAGCTCCAGACCCATCACAGCTTCCTGAGGGACTCAAGGAGCTCCAGAACCTTCCAGAGCATCTCCAGACCCATCACAGCTTCCTGAGGGACTCAAGGAGCTCCAGAACCTTCCAGAGCATCTCCAGACCCATCACAGCTTCCTGAGGGACTCAAGGAGCTCCAGAACCTTCCAGAGCATCTCCAGACCCATCACAGCTTCCTGAGGGACTCAAGGAGCTCCAGAACCTTCCTAAATGAACCCCAAACCCATCCTGAGGGCCTCCAGAACCTTCTTGAGGGACTCAAGGATCTCTAGTATCTTCCTGAGGGACCTCAAACCCGTCACAGCTTCTTGAGGGACTCAGGGACCTCCAGAACCTTCCTGAGGGACTCAAGAACCTGTAGAACCTTCTCAAGTAAACCCATCACAGCTTCCTGAGGGATTCAAGGACCTCCAGAACCTTCCAGAGCATCTCCAAACCCATCACAGCTTCCTGAGGGACCAAAGAACCTCCAGAACATTCCAGAACATCTCCAAACTTATCAGAGCTTCCTGAGGAACCTTCCAAAACATCTCCAAACCCATCACAGCTTCCTGAGGAACCTTGCAGTGCATCTCCAAACCCATCACAGCTTCCTGAGGGACCAAAGAACCTCCAGGACCTTCCAGAGCATCTCCAGACCCATCACAGCTTCCTGAGGGACTCAAGGAGCTCTAGAACCTTCCAGAGCATCTCCAGACCCATCACAGCTTCCTGAGGGACTCAAGGAGCTCCAGAACCTTCCAGAGCATCTCCAGACCCATCACAGCTTCCTGAGGGACTCAAGGAGCTCTAGAACCTTCCAGAGCATCTCCAGACCCATCACAGCTTCCTGAGGGACTCAAGGAGCTCTAGAACCTTCCAGAGCATCTCCAGACCCATCACAGCTTCCTGACGGACTCAAGGATCTCCAGAACCTTCCTGAGAGACCCCAAACCCATCACAGCTTCCTGAGGGACCAAAGAACCTCCAGAACATCTCCAAACTCATCAGGGATTCCTGAAGGACTCAAGGAGCTCCAGAACCTTCCTGAGGGACCCAAAACCCATCCCAGCTTCCTGAGGAACCCTCCTGAGGGACCCCAAACCCATCCCAGCTTCCTGAGGAACCCTCCAGAGCATCTCCAGAACCTACTTGAAGGGCTCAAGGATCTCCAGAACATTCTTGAAGGACCCCAGCCCAGGCCCCACTCACCCTCGACCACCTTGACCGGGTGCAGGTCCGAGGGCAGCCGGGAGTTGATGTGGAAAATCTTCTGCGCGTTCCAGATCATGCGGAGCAGGTTACAGGGGAGCACCACCTGTGGGACAGGGACCCCAAAATGGGACAGGGACCCCAAAATGGGGACAGGGACCCCAAAAACGGGGTCAGAAACCCCAAAAATGGGACAGGGACCCCAAAAATGGGAAAGGGACCCCAAAAACAGGGAGAGGAATCCTAAAAATGGGGGAAGAATCCCAAAAATGGGGGAAGAACCCCAAAAATGGGGCATCTTGGTTGGATTTTGGGGTATCTCAGTTGGGTTTTGGAGGATCTCAGTGGGGTTCTGGTGGATCTCAGTTGGGTTTTGTGGTATCTCGATGGGGTTTTGGTGTCGCCTTGCTGTCCCCGGTGGGGAAGATGACCCTGAGGACCTCCATGCACCCCAAAAAGAGGAATCTGGGATGTTCTGGGTGGATCTCGGGTATCTCAGGTAGGTTTTGGAATATCTCTGTTGGGTTCTGGTGGATCTCAGTTGGGTTTTGAAGGATCTCAGGTGGGTTTTAGAGGACCTCGGTTGGGTTTGGGGTATCTCAGTGGGGTTTTGATGGATCTCAATGGGGTTTTGGAGGATCTCGATGGGGTTTTGGTGTCACCTTGCTGTCCCCGGTGGGGAAGATGACCCTGAGGACCTCCCTGTCCTCGCGCATGCGGTCGAACTCGCGCTCCAGCTCGTTCTGGATGTGGGCGTTGGACAGGATGTCCTTGACCAGCTCCTCCTGCAGCGTCCGGCGCAGCGCCCGCTCGTTGGTGTAGTCAAACTTGAACCTGGGGACATCCAGGGGACACCTTGGGGACATCTGGGACATCCAGGGGACACCTTGGGGACACCCGGGGGCATCTTGGGGATATCTGGGGACATCCTGGGGGATACCTGGGGACACCTCAGGGACATCTTGGGGACACCTCAGGGACATCAAAGTTTGGCAGGAGAGGGGTGGGGACACCAAGGTGGGTCCTGGTTTGGGGTGGAAGAGGTTTGAGGACATCTAAATGTCACCCACGTTGGGCTGGAGAAGCTTGAAGACCCCAAGATGTCCCCAAATTCTGGAAGGAGCCATTTGGGGACCTCCAGATGGGTCTGAAACCTTGGAAGGAGCCACCTGAAGACCCCAAGTGTCCCCAACCCAAATCTGAACATCTCAAGATGTTCCCAACTCTTTTCATAGACCCCAAGATGTCCCCAACTGCCACCTGAAGATCCCGAGATGTCCCCACCTCCTCTGAAGACCCCAAAATGTCCCCAAATCCTGCCTGAACACCCCAAGATATTCCAAGTCTTTTGAAGACCTCAAGATGTCCCCAACCCAAATCTGAACATCTCAAGATGTTCCCAACCTCTGGAATGAACCATTTGAAAACTCCAAGGCGTCCCCAACTCCTCTGAAGATCCCAAATTCTGGAAGGAGCCACTTGGGGACCTCCAGATGGGTCTGAGACCTTGGAAGGAGCCGCTTGAAGACCCCAAGTGTCCCCAGTTCCTCTGAAGACCCCAAGATGTCCTCAATCCAAATCTGAACATCTCAAGATGTCTCCAACTCCCATCTGAAGACCCCAACCGTGGCCACTGACCACGCCCTGTCCTTGGCCATGTCCCCAGTGTTCCACCCTGGTCCTCACTTCTTCTCGAAGGCCTTGTTGGAGGGTTTGAGCGTGGCCAGGTTCTGGAACTCTTGGGGACCTCAAGATGTCTCCAACTCCCATCTGAAGGCCCCAAGATGGGTCTGAAACCTTGGAAGGAGCCACCTGAAGACCCCAAGATGTCCCCAACCCAAATCTAAACACCTCAAGATGGTCCCAACTCTTTTGAAGACCCCAAGATGTCCCAAGCTCCTGAAATGACCCCAACTGTGGTCGCTGACCCCACCCTGCCCCATTGTCCACCCTGGTCCTCACTTCTTCTCGAAGGCCTTGTTGGAGGGTCTGAGCGTGGCCAGGTTCTGGAACTCTTGGGGACCTCAAGATGGGTCTGAAACCTTGGGAGGAGCCACTTGAACACCCCAAGATGTCCCCAACCCCCATCTGAAGACCCCAAATTGGAAGACCCCAAGCTGGAGACCCCAAGATGTCCAAAACTCCTCTGAAGGCCCCAAGATGTCCCCAACCCAAATCTGAACACCTCAAGATGTCCCCAACTCCTTTGAAGACCCCAAGATGTCCCCAACGCTTGCCTGAAAGCCCTGAGATGTCCCCAACCCAAACCTCAACATCTCAAGATGTCCCCAACTTTAGGAATGAACCACTTGAAGACCCCGAGATGTCCCCGACTCCTCTGAAGATCCCAACCGTGGTCGCTGACCCCACCCTGCCCCATTGTCCACCCAGGTCCTCACTTCTTCTCGAAGGCCTTGTTGGAGGGTTTGAGCGTGGCCAGGTTCTGGAACTCGACGCTCTCGCCGGCCAGCCCGTCCTCGCCGTAGCGCAGCTGCACCACCTGGTTGATGGAGTTCCTCACCGTGGCGTCGTACTTGACCATCACCGACTCCATGGACTTGATCAGCCGCCGCTGGATGTACCCTGAGGGGTGGCACCGGTCAGGAGATGGCTGGGGCGGGGCTGGGGGTGGCCAGGGGGCATCTCAGGAGGGTTTGGACTCCTGAAGGCATCTAAGAAGGGTTTGTGATCTCCAAGAGGCATCTAAAGGAGGGTTTGAAGATCCTGGAGGCATCTGGGGAGGGTTTGGGGTCGCCAGGGGACATCTGAGAAAGGTTTGGGGTTCCTGGAGGTCCCCAGGAGACATCTAAGGAGGGTTTGTGATCTCCAGGAGTCATCTCAGGAGGCATCTCAGGAGGCTTTGCTCCCCTCACCATTCCGATCTCCTCAACCCCCCTTGGGTGGGACTTTGACCTCCTCCCACCATGGTGCCCCCCCGGTGGCACTGACTGGGGACCACCCCATGGTGCCCACCCCGGTACCCACCCCAAGGTGCCCCCGCTGGCACTGACCGGTGCCCACCCCGGTGCCCATTCCAGTGCCCATCCCCGGTGCCCACCCCGCTGGCACTGACCGGTGCCCACCCCGGTGCCCCCCGGTAGCACTGACCGGTCTCGGCGGTTTTGACGGCCGTGTCGATGAGCCCCTCGCGGCACCGACCGGTGCCCACCCCGGTGCCCATCCCGGTGCCCATCCCCGGTGCCCATCCCAGTGCCCATCCCCGGTGCCCACCCCTGGTGCCCACCCCAGTGCACATTCCGGTGCCCACCCCGCTGGCACTGACCGGTCTCGGCGGTTTTGACGGCCGTGTCGATGAGCCCCTCGCGGCACTGACCGGTGCCCACCCCGGTGCCCATCCCGGTGCCCACCCCAAGATGCCCACCCCAGTGCCCATCCCCGGTGCCCATCCCCGCTGGCACTGACCGGTGCCCACCCCGGTGCCCCCTGGTGGCACTGACCGGTCTCGGCGGTTTTGACAGCCGTGTCGATGAGCCCCTCGCGGCACTGACCGGTGCCCATCCCGGTGCCCATCCCAGTGCCCATCCCGGTGCCCATCCCCGGTGCCCACCCCGGTGCCCCCTGGTGGCACTGACCGGTCTCGGCGGTTTTGACGGCCGTGTCGATGAGCCCCTCGCGGCACTGACCGGTGCCCACCCCGGTGCCCATCCTGGTGCCCACCCCGGTGCCCATCCCCGGTGCCCACCCCGGTGCCCATCCCAAGGTGCCCCCACTGGCACTGACCGGTGCCCACCCCGGTGCCCATCCCAGTGCCCACCCCGGTGCCCATCCCCCTGGCACTGACCGGTCTCGGCGGTTTTGACGGCCGTGTCGATGAGCCCCTCGCGGCACTGACCGGTGCCCACCCCGGTGCCCACCCCGGTGCCCACCCCGGTGCCCCCTGGTGGCACTGACCGGTCTCGGCGGTTTTGACGGCCGTGTCGATGAGCCCCTCGCGGCCGCCCATGGCGTGGAAGAAGAACTCGGTGGGGGTGAGCCCGGCCAGGTACGAGTTCTCCACGAAGCCGCGGCTCTCGGGGCCGTAGTCGTCCTTGATGAAGTGCGGCAGCGTGCGGTGCTTGAAGCCGAACGGGATCCGCTTGCCCTCCACGTTCTGCTGCCCCACCACCGCGATCACCTGGGGTGGGGTGGGACCGTGAGGGACGGGAGGGCGGCGAGGAGGAGAGGCCAAAAAACCTCCAAAGGAAGCGCTCAAAAGCCCACGAGATCCTGCAGGAACCCCCTGAGATCCTGCAGGAACCTCCAGGAACCCCCTGAGATCCTGCAGGAACCTCCGAGAACCCCATGAGATCCTCCAGGAACCCCCCTGAGATCCTCCAGGAACCCCCTGAGATCCTTCAGGAACCCCCCTAAGATCCTCCAGGAACCCCCTGAGATCCTCCAGGAACCCCCTGAGATCCTTCAGGAACCCCCTGAGATCCTCCAGGAACCCCCTGAGATCCTCCAGGAACCCCCTGAGATCCTTCAGGAACCACCTCAAACCACCTCAAACCTCATGAGATCCTCCAGGAGCCACCCAAAACCCACTGAGATCCTCCAAGAACCTCCTGAGATCCTTCAGGAACCCCCTGAGATCCTCCAGGAACCCCCTGAGATCCTTCAGGAACCACCTCAAACCACCTCAAACCTCATGAGATCCTCCAGGAGCCACCCAAAACCCACTGAGATCCTCCAAGAACCTCCTGAGATCCTCCAGGAACCAACTCAAACCTCTTGAGATCCTGCAGGAACCACCCTGAACCCATGAGATCCTCCGAGAACCATCACAAACCCCCTTAGATGCTCCAGGAACCACCTCAAATCTCATCAGAACCTCCAAGAACAACCCCAAGCCCCACCCAGAAGCCCCTCCCAGACCTTCTGGAGCCCCCCCAGGCCTTCAGGAGGTCCCAAACCTGGGAGATGTTGATCTTGGAGCCCTTGGCCCCCGAGACCACCATGGACTTGAAGTTGTTGTACTCGGACAGGGACTTCTGGGCCGAGGAGCCGGTCTTGTCGCGCGCGTCGTTGAGGATGCGGTTGACCTGGTTCTCGAAGGTCTGGCGCAGGGTGTTCCCCGGCGTGGGCTCCAGCTCGTTGTTGTGCGCCTTCTCGATCACCTGCGGACGACAGAAGCCACCCCAGAACGGTCACCGGGGCGCGCTGGATTGTCCTGGCGGGCAAAAGCAGCTGAGAAGTTCAGAAAAGCCAAAAATTGCAAAGGAAGCAGCGGGAACCTCGTGAGATCCTCCAGGAACCACCCAGAACCTGCTGAGATCCTGCAGGAACCACCCAGAACCTGCTGAGATCCTGCAGGAACCACCCAGAACCTGCTGAGATCCTGCAGGAACCAATCAGAACCTGCTGAGATCCTCCAGGAACCACCCAAAACCTGCTGAGATCCTGCAGGAACCACCCAGAACCTGCTGAGATCCTGTAGGAACCAATCAGAACCTGCTGAGATCCTGTAGGAACCAATCAGAACCTGCTGAGATCCTGCAGGAACCACCCAGAACCTGCTGAGATCCTGCAGGAACCAATCAGAACCTGCTGAGATCCTGTAGGAACCAATCAGAACCTGCTGAGATCCTGCAGGAACCACCCAGAACCTGCTGAGATCCTGCAGGAACCAACCAAACCCTCCTGAGATCCTGCAGGAACCCCTGAGATCCTCCAAAACCACCCAGAACCTGCTGAGATCCTCCAGGAACCACCCAGAACCTGCTGAGATCCTGCAGGAACCAACCAAACCCTCCTGAGATCCTGCAGGAACCCCTGAGATCCTCCAGGAACCACCCAGAACCTGCTGAGATCCTCCAGGAACTGCCCCAAACCCCCTGAGATCCTCCAAGCCCCACCTCGATCACGTCCTGCTTGGCCTTCTTGATGGTGTTCTGGATGTCCTGGTAGGTCTTGGCGTCGGCGATGGAGTCTCCAATGCCGATGGTGTGACCTGGAGAGGACATCTGGGGCTCAGGGCTCCACCAAGGTGGGATCTCAGAAGGTCCCCGGGTGACCAAACCCCCCTGAGATGCCACCAAGAAGGTTCCCAGCCCCACCAGGACCTCAAGAATGAGATCCAGGAGCTCCAGGGCTCCACCAAGCTGGGATCTGAGAAGGTCCCCAAGTGACCAAACCTCCATGAGATGCCACCAAGAAGGTCCCCAGCCCCCAAAATTGGAGTCCAAGAACCACCAGGACCTCAAGAATGGGGTCCAAGAGCCACCAAGGTGGAATCTGAGAAGATCCCCAGGTGACCAAACCCCCATTAGATACCACCAAGAAGGTCCCCAGCCCCAAAAATTGGAGTCCAAGAACCACCAGGACCTCAAGAATGAGATCCAGGAGCTCCAGAGCTCCACTAAGGTGGGATCTGAGAAGGTCTCCAAGTGACTGAACCTCCATGAGATGCCCTCAGAAGGTCCCCAGGTGACCGAACCCCCATGAGATGCCACCAGTAAAGTTCCCAGCCCCCAAGAACCACCAGGACATCAAGAATGGGGTCCAAGAGCCACCAAGGTGGGATCTGAGAAGATCCCCAGATGACCCAAACCCCCCCTGAGATGTCCCCAGAAGGTCCCCGGGTGACCCAAACCCCCCCTGAGATGTCCCCAGAAGGTCCCCGGGTGACCCAAACCCCCCTGAGATGTCCCCAGAAGGTCCCCGGGTGACCGAACCCCCCCGAGATGTCCCCAGAAGGTCCCCGGGTGACCCAAACCCCCCTGAGATGTCCCCAGAAGGTCCCCGGGTGACCGAACCCCCCCTGAGATGCCCCCAGAAGGTCCCAGGGTGACCAAACCCCCCCGAGATGTCCCCAGAAGGTCCCCAGATGACCCAAACCCCCCCGAGATGTCCCCAGAAGGTCCCAGGGTGACCAAACCCCCCCGAGATGTCCCCAGAAGGTCCCCGGGTGACCCAAACCCCCCCTGAGATGCCCCCAGAAGGTCCCCGGGTGACCAAACCCCCCCGAGATGTCCCCAGAAGGTCCCCGGGTGACCAAACCCCCCCGAGATGTCCCCAGAAGGTCCCCGGGTGACCCAACCCCCCCGAGATGTCCCCAGAAGGTCCCCGGGTGACCCAAACCCCCCCGAGATGTCCCCAGAAGGTCCCCGGGTGACCCAAACCCCCCCGAGATGTCCCCAGAAGGTCCCCGGGTGACCCAAACCCCCCTGAGATGTCCCCAGAAGGTCCCTGGGTGACCGAACCCCCCCGAGATGTCCCCAGAAGGTCCCCGGGTGACCGAACCCCCCCGAGATGTCCCCAGAAGGTCCCCGGCCGCGCTGACCCTCGATGAGCAGCCAGTTGTTGATGACCGTCTGGATGTTGCTGTAGAAGAGCCGCGTGGTGTCGTGTCCCATCTCCAGGTAGGAGATGTGCACCAGGGACCCGGCCGAGGTCCCCAGGGACTTCTTGCAGAGGATGCCCATGATGAGCTCCCCGTTCTCCACGATCACCTGCCGAGGTCCGAGGGTGGGGTCAGGACCTCAAAGGTCCCAAAAAACCCCAAAATGCACCTGGAGGACCCCAAAAACCACCCCAGGGCAGCAAAGTTCTCCTAGACCAGAGCAAGGTCCACCAGAAGTTCTTCAGATGCCACCAAAGCTCCCTCAGATCCCACCAAAACCCCACCAAACCAACCAAAGCCTCCTTAGATCCCACCAAAGTCTCCTCAGACCACCCCAAACTCCCTCAGATCCCACCAAAGCCCCTGAGATGCCACCAAAGCCCTGTCAGACCCCACCAAAGCCCCCTGAGATCATTTTTCCTTCCACCCCACCAAGCCCACCTAGACCTCCTCCAGTTCCACCAAAACCCCATCAAACCACCCCAAAGTGCCCTCAGATGCCACCAAAGCCCCTGAGATCCCACCAAAACTCCATCAAACCAACCAAAGCCTCCTCAGATGCCACCAAAGCTCTTCAGATCCCACCAAAGCCCTCTCAGGTCCCACCAAAGTCCCCTCAGACCAACCCAAGCTCTTTCAGATCCCACCAAAGACCCCTCAGATGCCACCGAAACCCCATCAAAGCAACCAAAGCTCTCTCAGATCCCACCAAAATCCATCAAACCAACCAAAGCCCCCTCAGATCCCACCAAAGCCCCTTCAGATCCCACCAAACCCCCTGAGATCTCACCAAAGCTCCCTCAGATACCATCAAAGCTCCCTCAGATCCCACCAAAGCTCCATCAAACCAAGCAAAGCCCCCTCAGATACCATCAAAGCTCCCTCAGATCCCACCAAAGCTCCATCCAACCACCCCAAAGCCCCCTCAGATCCCACCACACCCCCTCAGGTGACCTTCCCACCCCCCCAAGCCCCCCTGGAGCTGCTGCAGGGCCACCTTGGTGTCCCCGGGCGAGATGTGCTTGTAGGGGCCGCTGTCCTCGTCGTCGGGGTGCGTGCTGTGCGTGCGGATGCAGTTGATGTGGCCGGGGATGATGAGCGAGAAGATCTGCTTCCCCGTCCACAGCGGCCGCGGCTTCAGGATGGCCGGCTGGGGCACCTTGCCGTCCCACGTGGACAGGAACATCAGCAGGTTCATCACCTCGCCCTGAGGGACGCCCCAGAGATGTCATCAGTCCAGGAGAACACACAGAGAACCCAAAACACCTCAAAGATCTCATCAGGAGAACCCATGGAGAACCCACGGGGAACCCATGGAGAACCCAAAACACCTCAAAGATCTCACCAGTCCAGGAGAACCCATGGAGAACCCACAGGGAACCCATGGAGAACCCAAAACACCTCAAAGATCTCATCAATCCAGGAGAACCCATGGAGAACCCACGGGGAACCCATGGAGAACCCAAAACACCTCAAAGATCTCATCAATCCAGGAGAACCCATGGAGAACCCAAAACACCTCAAAGATGTCCCAAAATACCCCAAAGATGTCATCAATCCAGGAGAACCCACGGAGAACCCAAAACATCTCAAAGATGTCCCAATCAGTGCAAAAATCCCTGTCCTACATGGAGAAGAACATCAACAGGTTCATCACCTCGCCCTGAGGGACACCCCAAAGATGTCATTAATCCAGGAGAACCCACGGAGAACCAATGGAGAACCCATGGAGAACCCAAAACACCTCAAAGATCTCATCAATCCAGGAGAACCCAAGGAGAACCCATGGAGAAACTCATGGAAAACCCAAAACACCCCAAAGATCTCATCAATCCAGGAGAACCCAAGGAGAACCCATGGAGAAACTCATGGAGAACCCAAAACACCCCAAAGATCTCATCAATCCAGGAGAACCCACAGACAACCCATGAAGAACCCATGGAGAACCCAAAATACATCAAAGATGTCCTAACCACCCCAAAGATGTCACCAATCCAGGAGAACCCACAGAGAACCCAAAACATTCTAAAAATGACCTAAAAGTCCCCAAAATTCCCTCAAACCAGACCCTCTCCTTCTTGGTGCACCTGCACATGGACATCAGCGTGTCCCACCTCAAACACCTGCCCTGAAACCCCTCCAACCACCCCAAATCCTCCTCAAACCCCCCAAGATGACCCCAAACCCCCCCGAGATGCCCTCACACGGACGACGTCCCTCTTGGTGAACTTGCACATGGACATCAGCGCATCCAACGCAACGGCGCCAGAAACCACCCCAAAACCACCAGAAATCACCTCAAACCAACTCCAAACCCCCCGAGATGCCCCCAAACCCCCCGAGATGCCCTCACACGGACCCTCTCGAGGAAGACGTTCCTCTTGGTGAACTTGCGCACGGCCGTCAGCGCGTCCCACCTCAAACACCTGCCTCAAACCACCCCAAATCCTCCTCAAACCCCATAGATGACCCCAAACCCCCTGAGATGACTCCAAGATGACCCTGAACCCCCTGAGATGGTTCCAAGATGCCCCCAAACCCCCCGAGATGCCCTCACACGGACCCTCTCGAGGAAGACGTCCCTCTTGGTGAACTTGCGCACGGCCGTCAGCGTGTCCTGCACGATGCCCATGACGGGCCGGTTGCTCTGGGGGGTGACGATCATCCTGGGCACCATGGCCAGCTCCTGGATCTCCGCCCGCGTCTCCAGCGACTGCGGCAGGTGCAGGTTCATCTCGTCGCCGTCGAAATCGGCGTTGTAGGGCGTGGTGACACTGTGGGGACATTGGGGACATCAGAGACATTGGGGACATGGGGCAGGTTCATCTCGTCGCCGTCGAAATCGGCGTGGTACGGCGTGGTGACACTGTGGGGACATTGGGGACATCAGAGACATTGGGGACGTGGGGCAGGTTCATCTCGTCGCCGTCGAAATCGGCGTTGTACGGCGTGGTGACACTGAGGGGACATTGGGGACATTGTGGGGACATTGGGGACACTGGGGCATTGAGGGATCTCAGGAACATTGGGGACATTGTGGGGACACGGGGCAGGTTCATCACGTCACCGTCAAAGTCAGCGTTGTACGGCGTGGTGACACTGGGGGGACACCAAAGGGACATTGGGGACATCAGAGATATTGGGGACACCTGGGATCTCTGGGACATTGGGGACATTGTGGGGACACGGGGCAGGTTCATCTCATCGCTGTCAAAATCGGTGTTGTACGGTGTGGTGACACTGTGGGGACACCAAAGGGACATTGGGACATCATGGGGACATTGGGGACATGGGGCAGGTTCATCACGTCACCGTCGAAATCGGCGTTGTACGGCGCGGTGACACTGAGGGGACGTCAAAGGGACATTGGGGACATCATGGGGACATTGGGGACATCAGAGATATCAGGGACATTGAGAACATTGGGGTCACGGCAGGGACACAGGGCAGGGTCATCTCGTCACCGTCGAAATCGGCATTGTATGGCGTGGTGACACTGAGGGGACATCAAAGGGACATCATGGGGACATCTGGCAGCTCAGGGACATTGGGGACATTGGGGACACTGGGGCATTGAGGGATCTCAGGGACATTGGGGACATTGTGGGGACATGGGGCAGGTTCATCTCGTCGCGGTCAAAATCAGTGTTGCAGGGCACGGTGACACTGAGGGGACATTGGGGACATCATGGGGACACTGGGGACATTGAGAACATTGGGGACATTGTGGGGACATGGGGCATGTTCATCTCATCGCCGTCAAAGTCGGCGTTGTAGGGCGTGGTGACACTGAGGGGACATAGGGGACATTGTGGGGACACTGGAACATGAGAGGCATTGGGGACACTGGGACATCTGGGACATCGGGGACATCGCGGGGACGTGGGGCAGGTTCATCTCGTCGCCATCGAAATCGGCGTTGTACGGCGCGGTGACACTGAGGGGACATTGGGGACATCGTGGGGACATTGGGGACACACCAGGGATGGATTCATCTCACCACACAAGGTGGACCAGGGCAGGATTTGGGTTAATTTTGGGGTTAATTTTGGGGTGAATTTTGGGGTTTTTGGGGTGTTCTACCTGAGGTTCAGGCGGAAGGTGGACCAGGGCAGGATTTGGGGTTATTTTGGGGTTAATTTTGGGGTGAATTTTGGGGTTTTTGGGGTGTTCTACCTGAGGTTCAGCTGGAAGGTGGACCAGGGCAGGATTTGGGTTAATTTTGGGATTATTTTTGGGGTGACTTTGGGGTTTTTGGGGTGCTTTACCTCAGGTTCAGACAGAAGGTGGACCAGGGCAGGATTTGAGGTAATTTTGGGATGATTTTTGGGTTTTTGGGGTGTCTTACCTGAGGTTCAGCCGGAAGGTGGACCAAGGCAGGATTTGGGGTTATTTTGGGGTTATTTTTGGGGTTATTTTTGGGGTGATTTTTGGGGTTTTTGGGGTGTTCTACCTGAGGTTCAGCCGGAAGGTGGACCAAGGCAGGATTTGGGGTTATTTTGGGGTTATTTTTGGGGTTATTTTTGGGTTATTTTTGGGGTTTTTGGGGTGTCTTACCTGAGGTTCAGGCGGAAGGTGGACCAGGGCAGGATCCTGACCCTGTGGCCCATCATGGACATCTTGTGCAGGGTGGGCTGCCGGTTGAAGATGACGATGTCCCCGTCGCACATGTGACGTTCCACCTGTCCCCAAACACCCCAAAAGTCAGGGGGACACCCCAAAAGTCAGGAGAACACCCCAAAAATGGGGGACACCCCAAAAAATGGCATCTTTACCCCAAAACGGTGGGGTCAGAGTGAGGAGAACGAGGGGTTCGGGGTTAATTCGCTCCCTGGTGGTGGCAAACCCCAAAATTATGGATTGAACCCCAAATCTAAAATTGGGAACCCCAAAATCAGGGATTGAGCCCCAAATCCTGAGTTCTGAACCCCAAAATCAGGATTTGAACCCCAAATCCAGTTGTGAACCCCTAAATCAGGGACTGATCCTAAATCCAGACCTCTAAATCCCAAAACCACCAATCCCCCCCATAGCTATGGGTTCCACACCCAGTTTTTGGGGTCCCCCAGATTTTTGGGATCCCGCTGTGGTTTTTGGGGTCCCTCCTGGATTTGGGGTTTTTGGGGTCCCTCCCCGATTTGGAGTTTTTGGTTCCCTCCCAGATTTTGGGGGTTTTGGGGTCCCTCCCAGATTTGGGGCTTTGGTTCCTCCCCCCAGATTTGGGGTTTTTGGTGTCCCTGCCCAGATTTGGGGTTTTTGGTTCCACCCCCCCAGATTTGGGGGTTTTGGTGTCCCCCAGACCTGGCATTTTTGAGTCCCTGAGATTTTCGGGATCCCGTTGCAGTTTTTGGTTCCCTCCCAGATTTGGGGTTTTTGGTGTCCCAGCCCAGATTTGGGGTTTTGGGGATTTTGGGGCTTTGGTGCCCCCCAGATTTGGGTTTTTGGGGTGCTGACCTTGTAGCCGATCTGCAGGTGCAGGTGGCTGGGTTTGGGGTTTTTGGGGTCGCTGGGTTTGGGGTTTTTGGTGTCCCCCAGATTTGGGGATTTTGGGGCTTTGGGGTCCCCCAGATTTGGGGTTTTTGGGTGCTGACCTTGTTTCCGATCTGCAGGTGCAGGTCGCTGGGTTTGGGGTTTTTGGTGCCCCCCAGATTTGGGGATTTGGGGTTTTTGGGGTGCTGACCTTGTATCTGATCTGCAGGTGCAGGTGGCTGGGTTTGGGGTTTTGGGGTCCCCCAGATTTGGGGTTTTGGGGTGCTGACCTTGTATCCGATCTGCAGGTGCAGGTGGCTGGGTTTGGGGTTTTGGGGTCCCCCAGATTTGGGGATTTTGGGGTTTTGGGGTCCCCCAGATTTGGGTTTTTGGGGTGCTGACCTTGTATCCGATCTGCAGGTGCAGGTGGCTGGGTTTGGGGTTTTTGGTGCCCCCCAGATTTGGGGATTTGGGGTTTTTGGGGTGCTGACCTTGTATCCGA